TGGATATAAACATATATTTTAAGTTTCATCAAGATCTGATAAAAATTGTGACTTTAAGAAGGTCCACAACCTTGGTATAACATACTTTTACACTATTTGCTTACAAATAGCAGCCATTTTGTCGGGAAGTTTCGGTGATATATTTTAGAACAGATAAAAATTGTGACCTCAAGAGATTCCACAATCTAAAAAACGTGATTTTTTGTACAATTAGGGGCCATAATCCAGGAAGTTATGATCCGATATATGTGAATATCGAAAGCAACCCTGATCTTTGGGTTATAAACATATATGTCATGTTTCATCAAAATCAAATAAAAATTGTGTCTTCTAGAGGGTCCACAACCTTAGTATTACATACTTTTAGACCATTTGCGTACAAGGAGCAAACATTTTGTCCGGCAGTTTCGGTCGGATTTTTATGAAATCCGAACTCAACCTTCATTGAAGTGTAACAGTGATATAATTAAATAGTTTTTAAAATTGAATACAAATTGTGACTTCTAGAGGGTTCACAAGCTAAAAACGTGATTTTTCAAAAATCTGGGTTCATAATTCAGGAAGTTACGATCCGATATACACAAATATCGAAAGGAACCAAGATTTTTGGGATATAAACATGCATTTCAAGTTTCATCAACATCAGATGATTTTTCATTTCAAGTTTCGTCAAAATCGGATAAGAATTGCGACCTTTAGAGTGTCTGCAAACAATTGTGGATGGACAGGGGCGGGGCAACGACAATATACGTCCTCATGTATTTTTTTAGCTTGTTCTCTGTCCATCTCTTGCAAAATGTAGGCATATATTGCCTGATAACTGTTGGTTACATATCTAATTAAAAAGGAATGTTTGTTTTTGCAATATATGAAAATTCTACATATGATTTTACGGAATTGGTAAAACCTGTGCATATAATGATGTCACAAGGTATTTTGATGCCATATATACATGTATTTTGTTAATTCATTACCACATAATCTTATTAAAGTGAAAGAAATAAAGGAACTAAATTTAGAAGTGTATGAAACTAGTAAGCAAATTACTGTTAACTAGGAAGGTTTAGAAATGAACATTTTCCAAGATTACAACATACAGTTGAAGATGCATACACCAAGTTTCCACATAAAACAGAATTTCTTCTTGTACTAACTTGTAGTCCCAATGAAATATCTGAAACTCTGTGATACATTTTTAAAGGAATACTAACGACTGTTAGAGATGAACTTGGTCATGATTAGCAATTACTTTGTGCCTAGATCAGTGATGGGATTTCACCCGTATATTCCGAACATGTCCAACACTATTTTCCAAAGGACCGAAATTGTCCAACCAGGAATACGCCCAATCGGACATCAAGATATGGTAAAGAATATTCAAAATTGTAAAATTAATATAGTGTACTGAGTGTATAACTACCACTGAACCCGATTATCGATGATAATAGGCTGGATTGATTAGGTAATTAAGTGATCAACATATTTATACGGTCTATATACCTACCTTGATTAACTACTTAATCTGCCATGATTGACTGACTTAATCCTTTATTGGAGAATTCATCAATCTAATCTTAAACACAAGTCACTGCTTCCCCTTTGTCGGACTATTCATCAATCCAATAAGAGTGGTTATAATTTTAATCTACGTGTTTACCTCGTGATTCTCCATTGTCGGACATTTTAATCACAGCATGCATCACTCAACAGCATGTATAAACTAGTTATAGGTGTCACATATCAAAAGAGTATATAACACCCTAAATAAATGGACAGTCTTTTACATCCTTCAAGACTCCATATAGAAATTAACATCCACAGAGGCACTTTCCTGCGATCTCGATTGCCGCACGAAAATTGCTTAACATAGGAGGCAGTGCTTACTATGAAACTATGTGCTATGAGTAATTTTGTAGGAATATTACTGACATAAATTTGAATACCAAACGGGAATTAAATATGAAAAATAGCGAGGTAAATCTATTTCTATTACGTACGGAATTTGAATACTTTGATAACATATGATTTTTAATTGTGGTATGAATTTGTCTGCTTAAATTACAATAAGCTCCTTTATTTTCGGTAAAATGTCCAGCAAGAAATATTTTGAAATCCCATCACTGGCCTAGATGAACCTGTTTATAACAAGCCAACAGTGAGGCTGATGTCCCCCGCAGAAATCAAATTATTAATTAATTGCACATTTATCTTTTTCAAAAGTTTCAAGTAATCAAACTGATTATCTATGCTTAGTTAGTCTAAGCATAAAATGTTCACTATCAAAACTCAGGTTTTGAAGTACCTGGTAGTGAGTGAAACTATACACTAAGTTTCATTAGTCTCCATCAGTTAGAATCAAAATTATCTTGTCCCAAAGCATCTGCTTAGCTTTAATGGAAAATATTAATCATTGAACTCAGTCAAGACATTCGCCTAATGAACATTTATACCTCAATTAAAAGCAGAATTGTTATGTTCCAAAGTCTTGACCAATCAAATGCTTATCCCTACTTTGACTAAACAGAAAATACACATCATCGAACTTAGTCAATGTATTGATATAACGAATCTATACTCAAGAGTTTCATAATTCATCCCTCTCACCCAATCAGAACCAAAGTTATCTTGTCCCAAGGGAGCCACGGTGGCTAGGTGGTTAAGACGCTAGCCTGGAGGTCGAGTGTTCGATGCCTGCATTGTCCGAGAAGGTTATCTGGATTTTCCGACGTGGTTTCCCTTTGTCAGTGGTGAAAAACGGAGGGCCTGACAAGGACAGCTGTCTAGTCCTTTGGATGAGACGAAAAACCGAGGTCCCGTGTATACATTGGAATGCACGTAAAAGATCCATTGGCATTTGGAATTCGATATAAGAGTAGGCGATGGTGCTGCTGCCCGGGCAAAATTTCCCTCATAGCACACTGTATGGCGTATGCCCATCTTCATTAGCCCAGTATAGGAGCAGAACAGTAGGTCGTTAAACCCCATTTCATTTCATTTATCTTGTCCCAAAGTCTTTAGCAATCAGATTGCTCATCTCTGCTTAGCCTTAGTGGAAAATATGCATGAATGAACTAGTCAAGGCATTCACGTAATCGACACCTACACCAATTTTGAACATTCTACCTCAATTAGACAGAGAGTTATTGTGTTCTAGTCTCGACCAATCAGATTGAAGTCTCTACTTTGCCTAAGCAGAAAATGCTCACCATCGAACCTTGTTAAGGTATTGATGTAATAAAACTATAAACAAAGTCTCACCACTATCACTCAATTAGAATCAAAGTTGTCGAGCTCCAAAGTCTTGACCAATTAAATTGTTTATTGCTTTGCTTACCCCGAGCCGAAAATGTTCTCCTAATCAAACTTAGTATTGATGTGATGAAACTATACACCAAGTTTCATCACTCTCACTTAATTAGACCTAAAATTATTGTGTCCCAAAGCCTCAACCAATCAAATTGCTTATCTCTGCTTACCCTAAGCAGAAATGATCATCTTTAAACTCCATCAAGGCACTAAACTAAAAAAACACTTACACCAAGTTTAAACATTCTAACTCAATTAGAAGGAAAGTTATTGTGTCCCAAAAAGTGTGACAGACAGACGGATGGACAGACGGATGGACAGACAGACAGACGGACGGATGGACGGAAGGACAGACAGACAAGATGGATGGTTGGACGGACGGACGAACCCATTTTAATAGTCCCCTGCTTTCTTTGAAAGGCGGGGGACCATAACAATATCTCAAGCTAAAAATTTCAAACAGGGTAAATAAGCCATATCTGTGCATGTTGTCATTTGATTTGCATATCCGGCCGGTACTTATCCTGACTCCTTTTTCAGAGATCCAGTGAAAATTGGAATTCTTTTGAAATACAACGTCCACATAAATTGTTTTAAACAATCATTATTAGTCAAGTATTTTATAATCCAATGTCTACATTTCTAACCCTCCCTATAATATAATAGTGTAAGAGTAATAAATGATTCCACTAAGCTGAATACAAACCTCGTTTATAAGAAAGACCCAGATGTTCTCCTCAATCCTCTTGTTAATATTTGACATTGCATCACTCAGAAAGAACAATGCAACTTTAAAAATATCCACAAACGATGCTTTTTTTTTATAACAAAGTGAAACAGTAAATATATGAACAAGTAGTCTAGAAGTGTGAACTATAGATGGCAAGGTCTGTCATTGTAGCAAAGTATCTGGTTTGATCCTTTGTAAGTGACAAGGAGTTGGGAAGCTATAGATAATTGTGTGTCCATGAATTACTGATATAAAATTGTACCTTTATGTTACCCTTCAAATGATCTAATATATCATGTTTAGTGAACGACTAACCACATTTCCATCTCTCTCTAGTGAAGAGATGCATAACATTGATTAAGATGTGGGTGTATTAGTAACCCTGATTGGAGGAGGCATCAGAATCTATCTAATAAACTACATATAAACCATAACCCATGCAACACGTAAACCATTGTCCATTCAAACTATCATTATACATACACTTATTACCTTTCTTTCAGCTGGGTGTAGAAGGGGTAGAGGGAGTAGAGAGGGACTGGTAGATTTTTTCGTCATAACTGTTGAGGTTAAAAGGTGGAAATATAGAACTTATACCAACATTTAATTTATAAGCATTCAATGTTTACTAAAAGGACTGTTTTAGTTTTAATAATGATAACTATTCATGACACTTCAGATATTTCCTCTAATCTGATTAAAGATTAACTCTAAAGCTCTAAGCATCATGACAAATACTTCTACATGTATATGTATAATACAAGATGAAGTGCAAGTCATTCTACAATTCTTTAAGCATGTTTGAATTGCTGTGCTATTTGATTTCATTAAAAATTGATGCCCAACGTGTAATTATTTATCAGTTTTCAAATTATTATAAAGTAATTTACTGTTTTAAGCACTTCATAAAACTAATTACAATTCTTGTACTTTCAAAATCTGATTTATATTAAGGTAATCTTACATTTTGACTGCATCAGGAACATTTAAATTCTCCATTGGTATTATTGCTCCCAAGTCCTGCAGGGTCTTTACAAATCTTAATTTGGAACTAAATTTGGAACTGTAAATATTAAGTTTTTAATAATAGTAAATCTTAGTTAAAAAGATATTTAGGTCAATCTTAGGTAGAAAAAATATTTTCAGAATTGAAAACAAGTAAGCTTGCATCATGCATGACTCACACCCTGGGCTAGATTAACTATCATCAAGATTTACATGCATTGGCCCTATATTACATTCATCCAAAAATATGTATACCCACTAGCTCTCTGCAATCTGAAATACTCTGCTTGATATGTTACTTGGTCTGTACTAATCAGGCTCAAATTTTGGAAGTTGTAAATGGGTATATTGATGAGTTTAATAATTACATTACCTGATAAATGGCTTTGTCATAATAACAACTGTTCTTAACCACAATGTTGGGTGAACCAATAATAACGCCTTCAGATTCTTCTTTAATCTGCAAATAATTGGCTTTAATTTATCCAAACTATTTACCTATAACGTTTTATTGTACGTCTGTAGGGGTATTTTACGTTTTTTTTTTATAATATAAAGATAGGTTGCCAGGCAACGAAAATACGCCCACAGCAGCTAATTCGTTCGAGCGGTCGACAAGGGTTGTCGCATATTTATTCCTTTGTAGGTAATTGGGGGCCTTTACCAGACAGTTCCATATAGATCAGATTATAATTTTTGTCATTTGAGGGTTCTACAAACTGAAACAAGGGCCTCAACTCTGGAAGTAGTCTACAGAAATTATTGAAATTTAACAGGCTTTTTCGTTTCACTAATTTAAATAATTTAAATAATGCATATAAATTTCACAAAGATCGGATGATAACTTTCGGCGTTAGAGCATTCACAAGGTTCAATAAAGTGAAATGAGTCATAATTCTAGACATAATAAACAGAAATTGCTGAAATTCAATAGGATTGTTCTTAATGGCACATATAAATTTCATACAGATCGGCAGATAACTTTAGAGGTTAGAGTGTTCACAAAGTGCAACAAGCCAACAGTCAGGCTGATGTAACCCGCCGAAATCCCAAAATAAATAGATGACACATTAATTAATCGCACATTTATTTTTTTCATAAGTATCAAGCAATCAAACTGATTATCAACTATACACCAAGTTTCATCACTCTCAATCAGATAGAATCAAAGTTATCTGGTCCCAAAGCATCAACCAATAAAATTGCTTAGTTCTGTTTACCTTTAGCTCGAAATGTTAATCAGTGAACTCAGTCAAGACATTCACCCAATGAACATCTACATCAAGTTTAAACATTCTACCTCAATTAAAGGTTCCAAAATCTTGACCAATTAAATTGCTTATCAATCTTTAGCCTAAGCAGAAAATTCTCATCATCAAACTTAGTCAAGGTAATGATATAATGAATCTATACTCGGAGTTTCATCACTCTCACTTAATTAAAACCAAACTTATTGGTGCTAAAGCATCAACCAATCAGATTGCTTATCTCTGCTTAGTGCTTACCGTAAGCAGACAATATTTATCATCGAACTCCATCAAGGCATTCGCCTAATGAACGCCTACACCAAGTTTGAACATTCTACCTCAACTAAAAGGAGAGTGTTCTAAAGTCGCGACCAATCAAATTGCTTATCGATCTGCTTACCCTAAGCAGAAAATGCTTATTATCGAACTTAGTCAAGGTATTGATGTAATGGAACTATACACCAAGTTTCATCACTCTCATTTAATTAGAACTAAAGTTATCATGTCCCAAAGCATCAACCAATCAAATTGCTTATCTCTGCTTATTCTAAGCAGAAAATGCTCATTTTCAAACTCCATCAAGGCATTGACCTAATAAACACCTACACCAAGTTTGAACATTCTAGCTCAGTCCCAAAAAGTGTGACGGACTGACAGACGAACCCATTTTAATACTCCCCTGCTTTCTTCAAAAGGCGGGGAACAAAAATTGTGACCTCTAGAGAATCAACAAGCTAAAAAATGCTATTTATGTAAAATCAGGGGCCATAATTCAGGAAGTTACGATCTGATATGCGCAAATATTGAAAGGAACCAAGATTTTGGGGTTATAAACATACACTTCAAGTCTCATCTTTATCAAACAAAAATTATGACCTCTAGAGAGTACACAAGTTAAAAACCTGATTTTTACGTACAATCAAGGGCCATAATCCATGAAGTTTTGATCCAATATATGTCAATATCGAAAGGATCCGAAATCTTTTGGAGATAAGCCTATATTTCAAATTTCGTCAAAATCAAATAAGATTGTGGACAGGCAGATGGACGTCTAGACAGACAAGGACGACGACAATATACATCCACATGAAAATGAGGGTGTATAAAAAAGCATCATTCAGATCGTCCCCTCAAGTTGAGCCTAGTTGCCATTAGATACAAAAATCCTAGTAATCTGTATAGTTCAATCATAGGTGTGACAATAAGATCCATTTTAGAATCTACTCTGCCCCAACACTAGTGACTGTCCATATATTTCAGACATTTGAAAATTAATTTTTGCATACAAAAGAAATACAGACTCTTCTCTGACTGCCATAATATGTCATCAGTATCACAGTTGTTTACACCTTTTTGATTCATCCTTAAATTATCTTAAAATTGTATTACTTACCTTCTGTCAATCATCTGATAACATTTCTTTAACCAACCAAAACTAGGAGATTGTTTTTTAGGAGTTGCACCATGAAAATAAACTATCATATAATCTTCTGCCACCAATTCCTCTAGGGTGTATACAACATATCTACAAATTATACACATTCACCATAATGAACCATGTCCTAAACAGACAGATTGTTTCCCATATTTAATTTGGAAAAACACTTGACAGAAAACAAATTTATACCTTACTTGTAATATTTCAAGGTGAGCAAATGAAATGAAACGAAATGAAATGGGGTTTAACGTCCTACTGTTCTGCTCATATACTGGGCTAATGAAGACGGGCATACGCCATACAGTATGCTATGAGGGAAATTTTGCCCGGGCAGCGGCATTATCGCCTACTCTTATATCGAATTCCAACTGCCAAGGGATCTTTTACGTGCATTCCAATGTTTACACGGGACCTCGGTTTTTCGTCTCATCTGAAGGACTAGACAGCTGTCCTTGTCAGGTCCTCCGTCGCTGACAAGGGGAAACCACGTCGAAAAATCGGGATGAACTTTCTCTCCCAATGCAGGGATCGAACACCCGACCTCCAGGCTAGCCAGCCAGTGCCTTACCTACCGAGCCACCATGGCTCCGGTGAGCAAATGAGATGACATGATACCAGTACTGTTTGTAAGAAGTAAATTCTAACACTGGAAAACTGGCATGTTACAAATATTACGATATCGAGAAATGTTTTAATTATAATTACTTGCCATTAGCTGGAAATTTAAATTGCAATTTTGACAGCAACACAATATATTTGATGGGCACCAAGTACTTAATTTTAAGTAATATAATATCTTCTTTCAAAAATACCACAATAATTGTTAGTTTTGATAAATAATGAACTTTAATTAAAACTTATACTTACAAAGGAACAACAAAATTTGTTATCTTTGTAAGGTTTTCTAAATACTGGTAAATGAGAAGTTTGGAGAAGGCATTAAGTGTACCTTATCTTGTGCTGGAAACACATCACCACTTACAGCTACCGGTTGGTTAGTTATTTTTTCAAGGGCCAGAGTAACAAGATAAGGATTTAAAACAAAACAAAATTTCATTCCAAAGAATAATCTTTAGAGAAGTTTGGACTTACATAAATAAATGATCCATGACATATTGATAATCTTTTCTTCTTTTATCAGGTAAATGACAACCAGAAAAAACTATTATAGCATTTAAACCTTCTCCATAATAACCTATAAATATAAAATTGATATTTCAGTCATCTCTATATTGATATATTACCCTTTTAAAAATATATACATCTACATAATTAAGAATACAGCTACAAAGTTTAATGTAAGTCATTAAGTGAGGTTAAGGAGCTGGAACTTAAAATTTGTACTACTTTATATTGCATTTGATCATTAGCTTTCTACTATACATATATCTTCCATCAAATTTAGTATTAACAAATGTAGTAGTAGTAGTAGTTAGTTGTATTTTATGTCCGCTTCCACTGAGGTGATATCGGAAGAGGGAATCCTAGAGCGGGAGTCCGCCAGGTGGCATATTAATTATTAACAAATGTACACAAAGATGCTATTTATAGTAAAACTAGATGGTCAATTTAAAAAATACTGCAACTAAATCATACATAACATTACCATCTAACTCATACTGTGTCAATGTTTTAAACTGTAAGATATATTCCAATTTACATGTGAAATAACTCTTTTTATAAGGTTCAATAACATAATATACTTAGCACACCCATTCTACCTCTATGTGAAATAACTCTTTTTATAAGGTTCAATAACATAATATACTTAGCACACCCATTTTACCTCTATGTGAAATAACTTATTTATAAGGTTCTATGACCATAAGGCCATGCAAAAAAAAATATCCTGGTTCTAAGAATGGGCAACGTGACACGTTTTATTTTTAGAAAAAGATAGTTGCCAGGCAACGAAACATATGCAGAGAGCAGCTAAATTGTCCGGGCAGTCAACAAGAGTTGTCACATATTTTTACTTTTTTCGATAATGAAACATTTATAATACAACCAGTGGCTGCCAGGCAGGATACGCCCACATTTTCGAGAGATGGATAGAGAACAAGCTAAAAAGAAAGTGATTTTTCCTACATTCAAGGGCAATAATTCAGAAAATTACAATTCGATATGCGCAAATATCGAAAGGAACTTAGATCTTTGGGTTATAAACTTACATTTCAAGTTTCAACAAAATCGGATAAAAATTGTGACCTCTATAGGGTCCACAACCTTGATATACAATATTTTTACGCTATTTGAGAACGAACAGCGGCCATTTTGTCTGTCAGTTTTGAGCCGATTTTCACGAAATTGGAACCCAGCCGTCCTTAGGGTATAACGGTGATATAATAATACGTTTTTTTAAATCGGATAAAAATTATGACCTCTATAGGTCCACAAGCTAAAAACACGATTTTTTGTACAATCAGGGGCCATAATTCAGGAACATACGTTCTGATATGCAAGAATATCGAAAGGAACCGAGATCTTTGGGTTATAAGCATACATTTCAAGTTTAAACCAAATCGGATAAAAATTGTGACCTCTACAGTGTTCACAAGCTAAAAACGTGATTTTTCGTACAGTCAGGGGCCATATTCCATGAAGTTACAATCCGATACATGCCAATATCGAAAGGAACCGAGATCTTAGGGTGATAAACCTATATTTCAAGTTTCATTGAAATCAGATAAAAATTGTGACCTGTAGACTGTTCACAAACAATTGTGGACGGACTGACGTCCGGACGGACAGGGGCGACAACAATATACGTCCACATTAAAATGTGGGCGTATAAAAATCTGATTAAGAGTAACAACTCATTGATTACTTATCAGAAAATCATTAGAATTTGTTTGGTTTTTATAAAGTTCTGCCCCATGCTAACGTCTCAAGACCTTAAACTTTGTGTATCAATTTGAAGTCAATGGGATGATAACTTGAGCCTCTAGAGTGTCACAAGATTTTTCATAGTGATCAAGAGCCATAATTTTGGCAGTAATTATCGGAAATCATTGAAAATTAACAGGCTTCTTCGTCTCATGACCTCAAACACTGCGTATAAATTTAAAGTCTAGAGGCTAAAGTTAAAATCCAACTGACTTTAAATTTATACACAGTTTAAGGTCTTGAGACTAAAAAGCCTATTGATTTTCAGCGATTTCCGGTAATTACTGACAGAGTTAAGGCCCTTGAGTGCTTCAAAAAATCTTGTGGATGCTCTACAGGCCAAAGTTAATATCTGATTGACCTTAAATTTATACACAGTGTCTAAGGTCATGAGACGAAAAAGCCTATTGATTTTCAGCGATTTCCAATAATTATTGCCAGAGTTATAGCCCTTCATCACTTCAAAAAATCTTGTGGATGCTCTTGAGGCCAAAGTTAATATCCGATTGACTTTAAATTCATACACAGTGTTTAAGATCATGAGACGAAGAAGCCTATTGATTTTCAGCGATTTCCAATAATTATTGCCACAGTTATGGCCCTTAATCACTTTGAAAATCTTGTGGACACTCTAGAGACTTAAGTTAACATCCGATTGACTTTAAATTGATACACAGTGTTTAAGGTCATGAGACGAAGAATCCTGTTGATTTTCAGCGATTTCCGATAATTACTACCAGAGTTATGGCCCTTGATCACTTTGAAAAATCTTGTGATGCTCTAGAGGCTAAAGTTTAAACACTGTGTATAAATTTAAAGTCAATCGGATTTCAACTTTAGCCTCTAGAGCGTCCACAAGCAATTGTGGACACCGGACCGACGGAAGGTTGGGGGCGACGCCAATATACGACCACATTTCAATGTGGGCGTATAAAACCCCCCCAAAACCAGCATCAGAGAACCAGAATATTTTTTTTTGTGGCCCAAGATATGCATACCGGTAAATAAAATTTTAGTGAGGTTTTATGACCGTAAAATCTATCCACGATCCTTCTTTGATTGGCATTTAGTAATTGAACATTAACACAAGGTACAATTTTATGGATACACAATTACTGAGTTAATTCATACTAAGAGACGTTTCGAGGAGGATACTCTCGTCTTTATCAAGCAAATGACACAGATATTTGAATGGTAGGAAAATATATACAGAATATGCAACAAAAATAACGATCAAATACAATTAGGGAGCCATTTACAATTAAACCAACACTGCGGAAACTCTTACAGACATTAAAAGCTGGGAAATCCTAATTATGAGAAACCAGTTAACCTGAGCTATAGATAATCAATATTTTAAAGATACATTCCCAGGTACAAACTGGGTGATTTAATGATATATTTAGACTAAAAACATATTCAAACTACTGAATTTATCATAATTTTGCTTCAAATCCTTCTTAAAACACTGCAATTGTCAGGAATAGCCGGCTATAAAAGATAGGTTGCCACTTGCCAGGCAACGAAACATACGCCCACAGCAGCTAAATCGTCCGAGTGGTCGACAAGGGTTGTCGCATATTTATTCCTTTGTAGGTAATTGGGGGCCTTTACATGACAGTTCCATACAGATCAGATTATAAATTTTGTCGTTTGAGGGTTTACAAAGTTCTACAATCTGAAACAAGGGTCTCAACTCTGGAAGTAATCTACACAAATTGTTGAAATTTGACAGGCTTTTTCGTTTTACTAATTTAAATAATGCATATAAATTTTATACAGATCAGATGATCACCTTTGTCATTCAAACGTTCACAAGGTTCACAATTTCACAATCGTCATTGCTGAAATTCAACAGACCTCTGTTTCACAAATTTAAATGATGCATATAAATTTTATATATATATCGGATGATAACTTTCATGAATCGAGTATTAACAAGGTTTAACAAAGTGAAACAAGGGCATAACTCTAGAAGTAAATATTGTAAATTGCTGAAATTCAATAGGCTTCTTCATTTCACTAATTTACATCATGCATATAAATGTCAAAAAGATCGGGTGATAACTTCTGGCATTAGAGCGTTCACAAGGTTCAACAAAGTGAAACAAGGGCCATAACTCTAGACGTAATAAACGGAAATTGCTGAAATTCAATAGGCTTCATCGTTTCACTAATCTAAATAATGCATATAAATTTCAGAAAGATTGGATGATAACTTTTGGAGTTAGAGCATTCACACGGTTCAATAAAGTGAAACAAGAGCCATAACTCTAGATGTAGTAAACAGAAATTGCTGAAATTCAATAGGATTCTTCATTTCACTAATTTAAATAATGCAAATAAATTTCAGAAAGATCGGATGATAACTTTTGTCGTTAGAGCGTTCAAAAGGTTCAATAAAGTGAAACAAGGGCCATAACTCTAGATGTAATAAACGGAAATTGCTGAGATTCAATAGGCTCTCGTTGCACTAACTTAAATATTGCATATAAATTTCACAAAGGTCGGATGTTAACTTTTGGCATTAGAGCGTTCACAAGGTTCAACAAAGTGAAACAAGGGCTATAACTCTAGAAGTAATAAATGGAAATTATTGAAATTAAATAGGATTCTTCATCTCACTAATGTAAACAACATTAAATCAATTTTAAGCAATTGGATGATAACTTTTGGCGTTAGAGCGTTCACAAGAGGTCATGTTTGTGCCGCGTGACACAACGGGTGCGAGGTCGGAGGAGAATTCATTCCATACACAAGATGATATTGCCTTTATCGCTGACTATTTATAACAAATATCGAAGCCTAATTAAATTCTCGGATTATCCACTGCCCGCGTCTTTTTCCGTGATTTTTACCTCAGAAAATGTTGTACGTTTAACTCTTCATAAAGTTTATCAACATGTACATCAAGAACTCAATCTCCACGTGCAACCTTCGACGTCACGCGTGCAGACACTCCTAATCATCGGGCTGTCGATTAGGGAAACCCGTACATTTTTGTCCTGTATGTGCTCCATGAGTATTTTTCAGGGAATCCATTATTTTTCTAGTAAGATTGGATATTTCTACTTTCCATATATACCAAAATTGCCATACTTTTATTGGAAATAACCACCCGATAAATACTTTTCTGGGAACGTAGCTTTAAAGAGAAGTGTGTATGTATTTTTTTTGGGGGGGGGGGGGGGAGGGTATGAGTGAACAAGTGATTAAGGACCACAAATGTATCATCAACCTTGAAATACCAACAATTGGGTTTGATGGGGGAAGACTTATCTTTCATGATTTTCATCTTATTGAATTTATACATTTATGGTCTCCCTTGTTCAGGGGCTTATGACGAACTTATACATTAATTCCCATACTTTTGTATTTCAGTTCTTATCCAGTTTTTTTTACAGCCTAATTATACATTTTACGTATCTTGATTTACAGTACTAATCCAGTTTACAGTCTGATAATATATTTCACATTTCTTGATTTTCAGTTTATTGAATTAATATATTTACGGCTCCTTTCGTCCAGTTTAATCTTTCATGATTTTCAATTTATTGAATTAATATATTTATCGTTTCATTTGCATCAGCGATCACCCTTGTTCACTCAGTAATTACCTTCATGTGAAATAACATTTTTGTTGTAAGAGTCTATAACTGTATGATTTATTTAATACATACCTCCATGCGAAATAACCTTTTTATACGGTTCTATAACTGTGAGATCTATTCTATATTCTTTATCACCGACATTAACTACTTTCCATCTCTTAACATCCTCACTTTCCTCCTGAGCTGAATATTCAGCAATTGGTTCTGATGATGATGACTGGATAGGTGAATCATCTAAAGAAAATTATTCATTTTAGTTTTTCTATCATCAAATACAATAAAAATTGATTCAAATTAATATGATCGGTAATATCGTTCCATATGAAAAATTTGAATTAACATTGATTTCAAACATACAGTTACAAAAATCCATTTTAATTGTTTGATATGGATTATGATATATTCAAACCAAATACGGTACATGCTTTTATAGAGCACTCCAAATCCAACATCAGTGTGCAGATCTTGAGAATCTTACCTTTTGTTAATGAAAGGACCACAACACATCTTTAAAAGTTTTTAAGCAGCATGCACGCAGCATTTTATTATCAACACATTTTGTTTGTAATGCTTTTCATAGAGTAGATATTATATACAGATACAATTTAAAAACTATTTTTAAAATCAAAACCTATTAAGCTAAATAATAACTTTTATATATTTTTTAATTCACAAATGCTATTTTAAAAGCCCAACAATCCCCAGATGTAATTCTAAAACAAAAAAACCTGAAATAAATATCAGCACACATAAACACAAACTTTGCAAGCTATACATTTGTATGTTAAATCTAATATGGAACTGTACTATTACCCAGAATCACTTTTTTTGCTAAAATTAATGAAGACAAGAAAAATGTTAAACTATAAACTCAGAAATGAATGCTTTGCAACAAATAGCACAGAGTGTTTTTTCTACAGCATAAAAGAAAACAGAAAGAGATTACAAATACACTAGGCTAGAATTTAAAGAGCACATAAAGTGAAGGAAGAAAAGTAGTATGTGCTTATAAAAACCAATAATTATTTGTCAAAAAGTTTGTTTACTTTTCCCGACGCCAATTTGATATGCGTAATAAAAATAAGACAATTTGATTTGTTGGCAACTGTTTAGGACATGGATTCGATATTAACATCCACACAATCTAAAAGCAATGCATTATTTTGTAACAATTATTCCTTCTTTGCTGTAACTTCCTCAACCCTCAATCACACACATAAAATTCACTCTAGACCTAGAATACATTTAAATTCTATAATCGGACGTGCCTCTAACTTGCTGCGGGCGAATAATTCTAATCATAAGGTGGTATTTTACATCCAGTGAATCGGATGTATATAATATTTAGAAATGAAATGGGGTTTAATGTCCTACTGTTCTGCTCCGACTGGGCTAATGAAGACGAATATACACCATACAGTGTGCTATGAGGGAAATTTTGCCCGGATAGCGGCACTACGGCTTACTATAATATCGAATTCCAACTGCCAAGAGATCTTTTACGTGCACGCCCATGTGAACATAGAACCTTGGTTTGGTGCACCATCCAAACAACTACACCTTGTCCCTTGCCAGTCCCTCCAGCCTACACCACTGACAAGGGTGGACCACACCATAACATCCCAATGAACTTTCTCGAACAATGCAGGGGTTGAACATGGGACATGCAGGTTAGCGGGACAACGTCCTATTCACTTTGCCACCATGGGTCCTTATATTATAAGGATTAAACATGCCAAATTCCAGGATGATCAATTCAAAATTGCGGCCTGTAGGCAAATAACACAAAAGTTGGGTGTGGCTTTGCCCCTGGACGTCAGGGCATGCATCAAAATCAATAGTAAGGATTAAATATGCCAAGTTCCAAGATGATCCATTCAGAATTGTGGCCTGTAGCCGATAAACACAAAAATTGGGTGTGGCTCTGCTCCTGGGTGTTGGACATTGACCATTATAAATAGAACCCTGTTATTGAAATGATTGATATGCCGAGTTTGTACAAAATCTGTTAATAATTACAACCTATAGAGTATTTACAGACACAAAACTAACAAACGAGAGCATTGCTAACGCTGCAAAATATGTCCACATTCCTGCTTTGATTGATATGGTAGTTTTTTCAAGCGTTTGCCATGCAAGATATGCCCACATTTTCCAAGCGATGGACAGAGAATGACCTAATAATGTGATTTTTTGTACAATCAGGGGGCATAATCCAGGGACTGAACATGCGAACTCCAGGTTAGCGAGCCAACGTCTTACCCGCCGAGCCACCATGGCTCCCTATATATTTAGATGTCTGTGCTATGGAGAGAACAGGAATGGAATGTCAACGAGGAATATCAGAATCCACAAGTCTCAATCCATTCAACTGGATTATAGGCCTACTTTATTTGTATACTTTTAGTTTGAGTGGGCCTATAATTCAATAAAATGATAATCATGGGCCACCATACTGGTCATGTGAATGTAGTGTTAAGAATATATATATATTTATATATACACATATACACACACAATCACCATTTGTAGGGCAGATCACAACTTACTAACAAGCGAAAGACTCAGATACAATACAATATAATAACTTAAATCCAACTACACTTAATGTTGCTCGGTTGCATTAAGAAAAAAATTGAAAAGTGCTTTAAAGTGTGTGACAGATGAAAAGTCATATAGTGAAGAATTTGAATCAGATTGGTGTGAAACTATGGCGGGGAATAAGGTTCAAAATGCGATCTGCAGTAGAAAGTAGAAAATAAAAAGCAAAAGAGAAAATTCTTATCCAAAATGGACTTTTTCATGTGGGAAACATATACCGCTCGTGCTTTTCAACCTAATACGTCCACCTTTTCAACTTTAAGTCGTAAATATTCTACTTTCAACAACAGAATTTCTACTTTCAATAATCAACTTTTGATATTCGACTTTCAACTTCAGATTTTCTACTCAAGATTTTCTCCATGCATATTATGGAAATAAATTTGATCACGTGACTATTTCTGCATGTCATTAAAATATGGTATTTTTCCAGAAAAATAAACGATCCCAGGGAAAGATAACTCTAGTTGTAAGACTAAGATAAGATGGACTCAGACTAGCAATTATTTGCCCATTGTAATCAGTTTGGGTTCCAGCCCCGAGGAACTCTGTAAACTTTGCTGTTTGGTGATTACATCATTTCGAGCTTGAAAAGGACACCCTTGTGTTAATCATGGCCTCACATATTTGAAGATAACATAAATGGCTTGTGTGTTGACAGTTGTGCATATCTCTTGGTCAGAAAAGTTGTAGGCACCATCGCCATTGTAAATCAGTTGACAGGCCAGAGTGAACAGGGAGACCTGTGATTGGTCAGCAATGTATCAGATTCCATACTGGGGGGTGGGGATGAAAAAACTGTTGTAGTGTTACATAATCAGATTATTTCAACTTACTTATCCTGTGGAAATACAGCTATATAGGAGATATTTTGAAATTCATGGGCACTGCATGTTTCAACATTTTAGATTTGACCACAATTTGGCACTTGAAACTATGTTAACAGAGAAAAACTGTGTGCTTTTCGATGAAAGTGTTAAAAGTCTAATATTGCATCATGATTACTGTTTTAAAGTATTTTCGTGTTTGATTTATATTGAATTCATCTCATCTTTTTGAAGAATGCATTTATGTTCAAAAATAAAAATGTTCTGTGGATTTCAAAATCCATGTGCTTTTAAATTATCAGATTTCAAACTGGGGGGTGGGGATGAAAAAGCTGTTGTAGTGTTACATAATCAGATTATTTCAACTTGCTTATCCTATGGAAATACAGCTATATAGGAGATATTTTAAAATTGATAGGCACTGCATGTTTCAACATCTTAGATTTGACCACAATTTGGCACTTGAAACTACATTAACATAGAAGATAGGTTGCCAGGCAATGAAACATACACCCACAGTAGCTAAATCGTCCGGGCAGTCAACAAGAGTTGTGACATATTTTTAATTTTCGGTAATGAAACATTTATAATACACTAAAATCTGATTATAAATTTAAAGTCAATCGGATATTAACTTTGGCCTCTTGAGCGACCACAAGATTTTTCAAAGTGATCAAGCGCCATAACTCTGGCAGTAATTATTGGAAATTGCTAAAAATCAAAAGGCTTCTTCGTCTCATGACCTTAAACACTGTGTATAAATTTAAAGTCAATCGGATATTAACTTTGGCCTCTAGAGCGTCCACAAGATTTTTCAAAGTGATCAAGTACCATAACTCTGGCAGTAATTATTGGAAATTGCTAAAAATCAATAGGCTTCTTCGTTTCATGACCTTAAACACTGTGTATGAATTTAAAGTCAATCGGATATTAACTTTGGCCTCTAGAGCGTCCACAAGATTTGTTGAAGTGATCAAGGGCCATAATTCTGGCAGTAATTATCGGAAATTGCTAAAAATCAATAGGCTTCTTTGTCGCATGACCTTAAACACTGTATATGAATTTAAAGTCAATTGGATATTAACTTTGGCCTCTAGAGCGTTCACAAGGTTTTTTGAAGTGATCAAGGGCCATAACTCTGGCAGTAATTATCGGAAATCGCTGAAAATCAATAGGATTCTTCGTCTCATGACCTTAAACACTGTGTATAAATTTAAGATCAATCGGATATTAACTTTGGCCTCTATAGCGTCCACAAGGTTTTTTGAAGTGATCAAGGGCCATAACTCTGGCAGTAATTATCGGAAATCGCTGAAAATCAATAGGCTTCTTCGTCTCAAGACCTTAAACACTGTGTATAAATTTAAAGTCAATCGGATATTAACTTTAGCCTCTAGAGCGACGGACGGGGGCGACGACAATATACGACCACATTTAAATGTGGGCGTATAAAAAACTGTGGTTTTCGATGAAAGTGTTAAAAAGTCTAATATTGCAATTGCATCATGATTACTGTTTTAAAGTATTTTCGTGTTTGATTTATATTGAATTTATCTCATCTTTTTACAGATTACATTTATGTCAAAAATAAAAATGTTCTGTTTAATTCAAACTTCATGTGCTTTTAAATTTCTGTCTGAAATTCCGCAGTTTTCTGATGTATTATAGTGTTTGCACAGCTCATCTGAAAATGCATAGATTTTCATAATCTTTGGCCAGGGCATTGCATATGTTTGTTTATTAGATAACAATAGATTTGTTTAAACTGTGAGTTATAAATAGACAATTTTTCCCTTAATTTTTTTT